AACCGGCTGATGTTTTTTTTTATGAGGAGCCTTTATTTCATGTCCGAAATCTGTCTCTGAGGGGTTGACAACCCCAGCTGAGGAGCATCGGCAATTAGAAAAATTAGATTAATTTTTAATTAAATTAATTTTCTATAACTTTTTGGATGTTAGCACGACATCAGGATTTGAAACCGAGCCTTTCGAATGGCAATACGCAATGCTAACCACTCGGCAACCACTCGGGTACCGCTACAGTTTAAATAGATGAATAAGTTTTGCGAGATTATCAAATTCAACGTCATTTCCCTGATATCTGTTGCTGTTGTTGTTGTTGTTGTTGTTGTTATAACCGCAAATTATTCCCCGAATTGGTTTTTGCGGGAACTATTGGATTTTAGTCGCCTCTTACGACAGGCAAGCCTTACCACGGATAAATTCTTGAGCCCCTAAACCGCAGGGGTCATGGGCCTGCTATCTGCTGAAAGCAGGCTGCTTTTAAATCGACGAAGAAGTGCTTTATGTCTAGGTTTTTCTGAGGGATATTTTTCTTGTCTTTCACTTCTAGATTTGCCAAATCTGACGTCAAGTTGTTAATGTGCATTCCGTTCGTTGATGATGGTCTTTAGTCTTCCACACAATACGCCATATAGGACCTTATATGCGATATTGAGTACGATTATCTAACAGTAATTGTCGAATACTGTAGGAGACCTTTTCTGGATTGGGCAGAGAACACTATAGTTCCAATCTTCCGGCATGCTTTCATTCTACCATGTTCTATTTTTTCATCAGATGATGATTATACATACATATGTGTATTTATATAAATGGCGATATATATATATATATAACGGTTATATGGTTAAAATGATTTTCAGGCAAAACTCCTCTTCGAATTGGCGCGCCTGGAAGTTTGTCCAATAAATCGGGAGACCTACAGTTTACAACTGCCTCCGATTAGCTGATATATTTTTATGAGGAACTTTTAAATTTAGTGTCAGAAATTTACGCGGCGGGTTTGACAATCCCTACCGAGGGGCGACAGCGATTAGAAAAATAAATTTTCTATAATTTTGAATGTTGATTTGGCCAGGAAACAAATTCGTTACTCTCCACATGGTAGTGCGTATTGCTAACCACTCGGCTAATGCCGTCATATATACTTGGTTTTTTCGAAAACTGCGCCTAGTCTTTTTTCTCAATCAAATTTTTCTTATTAATTGTTGCTTATGCTTCAGCTGCCAATTTTCGAATTGTTTATTAATCACTGTAAAATTCCACGTAAAGCGTATAAGTGGTCACGTATCTATGATTTTGAAGCTAGAAGTAGGTATGAGTCACATACGCTGCTATGTTCGTATGTATGTATGTATTCAGTCTTTTCAATTTGGTGAATTTTTGGCAGAAGTGAGGTTATTGAGCTCTCCTTATACCTTCTTATTCTTTCCACGATGTAGAGATGCCGAAAAAATTACAGGTAAAATATTTCTATACGCGCAGAGTTTTATTACAAATCAACATATTTATATTATGTTAGATTTTTTTTTATAGAATATTTATCGTTTAAGCATTATTTCCTTGTCTGCCTTGTTGCTGTTAATTTATGCATATGCCATTTTAGCGCAGTCATTGGAATTATCACATTATCTGTTTACAGCAACAGTCGGTGCTCGTTTGACAAACGCCCCCAATAAAGACACATATAAAATATGTATGTACAAATGTATGCACATACTTCCCTACTCCTACATACCCTACATGGAGTCTTGTTTATTTGCAATTTACTTTGGCACACAACAACAGCTGAGGAGCCGATGAGGCGCAGAGCCAAGTTGTCAATTTTGCCGCTATTTGCATAGTTGTTGTTTTTGTTTTTGTAATTTCAATTTGAAAATTGTTATAATTTGCGTGCATGTTACATGAAATTTAATATGTGTTAAGTAAACGTCAACATGACCGTACGTACACTCGCGTGCAATCATATTAGTTGTGTGGCGTTGGTCAGTAGATATGCGCAAGCATGTACGAGTATGCTTGATTACTTGATTGCCGGTTTGCCCACTTTTGTCCATCTCGAATGACTCTGACCAAGCCCCTAGTCGCGTGTGTGATGGCATGAATCAGTGAATTAGTCCTCTAAGGCGGCTTGCAAATGAATTCATACACGCGTGTCTACAGCTGCTTACGTCGTCGGCTCCTCTCAATCTTTCGTGTCTCTAGAATCTTAATGACAACTGAGAATTTCTAAATGCTGACATTTACGTTAAAAACTATAAATAATGTAATTGATTCAAAAATCTGTGCGCACACAACATTCTGAGCTTTAATTATATGTATAAAGCTGACTTTGGTCTAATGTAGCGGGGTATGGAGACGGCCGGAGTGCCGCAGTTTTATTGTTGATTGACGTGTTGTTTGTTTTAATTGTCGTTTAATTCATAATAAGTTGCTTTTTGCCGCCTCAGACAAAGCTTAGAATATGTAATCAATTAGCAATGGAAACAAGAAATAAAGAATACAAAAAAAAAAGAAAAAAATTAAAAAAAAAAATCAAAAAAAAAGAAAAGAAAAAAATTAAAAATAATAGTAAATAAATTGACTTAAATAATGTCGCTGTGATTTGAAATATGTATTTGTAACTATTTTTTATCATTTTCGAAAGGGACTTCGATCGTGAGTCAGAAGTGCTTAGTGGAACTAATCGTAATAATTGGAATAGCGCAAACTAACGAGTCGAATTGATTCGTTTTTATTTATTTTCTTTTTTGCGCTGAATAATTTAATTTTATATTTCTCCGCCACTGACGCATCTCTCAGCATCAAAAATCTGTGACTCGGTTCTATGCTTCGAGTATTTAACAGAACACATGTTTTTATACCAGTTCTTATGTAACGAGTTAGTTATGTTAGATGTAGGAATCTAGTGAGCAGTCTGTAGGCCCAAATATATGCCTGTTTTGTTTCTCATCTTTTTATTTACAATCTGTCTTCGAAAAATAAATGAATTTGATGATTAATATTAATATAACAAAGCTCTAACTTGTTTAAGTGTACTTACATTAATAATAATAAAAATTTAAATAAAAAAGTGGGGTAAACTGAATAAATGAATTTCCATAAAATGAAAAAATAAAATTTACAAATAAAATAATAAAATAAAATAAAATAAAATAAAATAAAATAAAATAAAATAAAATAAAATAAAATAAAAAATACCATGATAATAATTAAAAAAAAAATTTAAAACAAAGTTTATTAAAATTAAAAAAGATTAATTTAAATAAAATAAAATTAAATAAAACAGATATATATATAAATATAATAGACGCTCTGCAACAGCTGAAGCGTTTTTCGGCCGAGCTCCTCCTATCATTTTGTGTCTTGATGTTTCCAATGGAGAATCCTGCAGTTTATACTAAGCCGCCTTCGAACGGCTGTTGGTGTTTTAATGAGGAGCCTTTATTTCTTGTCAGAATACACTCAGAGGGCTTGACACTTCCTATCGAGGGGCAAAAACAATTAGAAAAATTAACTTAATTTTTTTTTAATTAATTTTCAATAATTTTTCGATATTGGTCGGGCCAGGATTTTAACCCTCCTCTTCCGTATGGCAGTACGAAATGCTAACCACTCGGTTATCGCAGCCGCTTACATTAGTTTGAGAATTTATTTATTATGGTTAAATAAAATAATTATTATTTTTTTGGTTTGCTTTTTTTTTTGCTTTTTTGGTGGTTACGTCTTTATGATAGCTTTCATCCAAAGCAATTTTATTCACATTACGTCAATTAAGGTTGGTTTGAAGTGGTTACCGTTTATCAGTTCACATAGGCGGCCGTTAGAGGCCCATTGTGCTACTACTAATGAGCCTAATGGTCACCATCCGCTAGTCAAACCAACTAAGTGGTAGACAAATGTATCTTTGCATCGACTAGGATATCTTGAAATCTCTCGTGAACTTAGTGAGGGTTGTGAAGACTGTTACTATTTCTATGAAAATTTTAGTTGGTTGAATTTGTCTCAATTATTTGCCACCACAAACCTAAACTCTACTCTGTAGAGAAGCAATGTAAAGTGAATGTTTGACCTGAATTAGACCCAGAGTTAATACTACGTACCTCCGCGTCGTTTGGTGGATTTATCTAGATACTAACTCTGGGTTATAGGGCGGATTCGCTTTCGATTTTAGTTCTGTTAATATCGCGTTAGCGCCTTGCCGATCAGCGAGTTGAATGCATTTTTTCATGATTTCTTAGAAGCAGGTTAGAAAAACATATTGACAACAATGAGCGCACCGGTAAAATTGTCACATTCCGACTTGATCTGATTGCCAGCCGTGACGTGGTAGCCGAAATATGAATGAAAGGACGGCTAAAGCGGTTGCTCGTTTGGTGAAGTCAGTAACTCACACATTCATTGCTTAGAAGACATAGTTGTAATCACTTACTTTAAAGCTGCCTTGGTCAGGAGAGCGGTCACAGAAGAACCTTGCTCCTGTGCCTACCTCCCATTTCGAACAATCAGTACTGATGACGATATCTGCAGCTTTACCGATGGTCTTGGGTTTCCCCCGTTCTTCCCACGCGGCAGGTCGCTGGAACTAAGTAGAAGGTTCCTTTTCTCGGTCGCACTGTACGTTTAGCCCGAGCTCTCATATAACTTTCTGTTTTCTTTCCGCCACCTTAGGCCTCCCATTTGGGAGCTGGATCCAACTATGTCAAATATTAAGGACGTTAGCTGTTAGCGCTGCTTCATAATTTAGTTGTATGCTTCGTAGCCTAGGGGTACTATATATTCTTCATCTGTAAAAGTAAAAAACAGTAAAAATACGATTGACCGGAAATGCCTTAACCAGTTATGTATAATATATACGTACGATATCAGCTCATAGGCCATACGGCTCACCTGCTTAGCTCAGAAAAATTCAAAAAATATATTTTTATTTACACAATTCTTACAACTTACATATGTATGTGTTTATTTCAAAATTTAATCAATTAATTTTTAATAATTTTCAGATCATGGGCATGCTGGTGATACTATTCGGAGGCCTCGGTTGGGGCGCTATGCCACAGAGTTATGCTATCGGTATCATAGTCTTGGGTGGAGTGATTTTAATTATATCATTCTTTGGTTGTTTTGGCACGATGAGAGAATCAACGCGAGTTTTGTGGACGGTAAGAGTGATGAGTTGTAAATTGGTTAAAATATATTATTAATTTTTTTAAATTGTTTTCCTTTCAGTATGCAATTCTACTTATACTGCTAATAGCTGTAATAGTCGTCTTCATTTGTGTAAGCACGCGGGATGTCTTCAAGCGTTATGCAATGGAAGGTGTGGAAGCGCAATGGCGTAAAGAGGTCTTACAACCTGGCTCCATGGACAAAGTACAGTCGGTGGTGAGTTGAAGAGATATGTGAAAAAGAAGTAATTTATTTAACATTTTTAATATTTATCTCTACAAGTATTTCTGCTGTGGCCTCAATTCGGCAGAGGATTACATACGTATTGCACGCGCACCGCCCGCCAGTTGTTGCAAGGAATCAAACTGTATTAATCCATTGAATCTCTATCTGGTCGGTTGTTTGCCAAAAGTGGAGGAAGCTTTCGCCGATGAGGCTACCACAACGTTATACCATGAATATGGGCTTCTGTTTTTTGCGGTGAGTACATACATACATTTATACCTCGAATAAGAATTTTAAGTTAATTAAATAAATTTATTATTTTTTTTTTTCAGTGCCTACTTTTGCTTTTGACAGTCTTGCTGGCCATTCATTATCACAATCGCAAGCGCCGTTTTAGTTATTAAGTTCACTTAAGTCAAACGCTTTGGAAGCTTTGCAAGCATTTTGAGTCTCAGTGTAGCATTTAAGGTGTAGAGGTTTTAGTGGAATATGGCAAAGTTTAATTAAAAATTATATATTATATAAATATTTTTTTTTTTAATTTTTAATTTATTCAAAGTAAAATTATAATAAAGAACAAAGTGTAGCTTTCAAATAATGCTTTTAGACAAAGTCACATGTACCTCCAAGCAAATCGAATAAATAATTTTAATATATTTTAAAATATAATACGCAAAATACAAATATACAAATAATTTTATTTATTGCCAAATCAGTTGAATTTATATTAAGCACACTAGTATACCCAAATATTTTAAATATTTACTCTATTGTAATTTTGTATTTACTTAAAATAATTGAAAAATACATATTTAATAATAAAAGTGGTAGATAAATATATGTTAAATGTAATTCTTAGAATTTTATTCCGTCAATTAAAGCCTTACAGATATTATACGCTAAAGCATAAAGCTTCCATCTAAGCTTTCATACTTCTATAAATTAAGTTTAATCTTTTCCACAGAGCTGTACATGTTAGTGCATATCTGCAGATGCCTGCTGTGAATGACAGGAACATATGTACATATGTGTAACAGGAATTGATGCTAAACACTTGATGTGGGATCCAGACAATAAGTTGAATGCATAAGAAGCAACCAACCAAGCTTTCGGAGCTTCTGGCGAGTCACCAACGATATGTGTGATCTGGCGTTATGCTGATGAAAAGCAATTCACTCACCTGTTAGCGAAAGATGGACGCTTTTGGGCGATTGCTTCTTTCAGATGGTCCAATTGCTGACAGTACAGATCCTAATTAAGAGCAGCTCATAGTAGATGATTACTTGCCAATCCATTTCATTTTTTATCACCAGTCATCCGCTTGAGATATGGATCGATTTTATTACGTGCAACAGAGATTCGCAGATCGAAATTCAGTCCATGAGGGTTTTCCCCTTTTACTCAGGTGGCACTCATACATCGAGCTTATTTGTGTATCCAGCCTTTTTCTAATGGTTCCACACCTGTTTTTTGTGCATTCTGTGGCTCCCAGGCAATCGAAACAGTGCCTTGCATTATGGTCAGACACGACGATTTCCATTATTTTATTGACATTTTCGATAATTGGTCTACCGAATGACAGCATGCAATGCCGATTATAATGATGTCGTTGACATCAAAACCAGAGCCGTTAGTTTGGCTTTCCCAGAATGGAACAGCTCGCTCTTCATTCCTGCTGCACGGTGTGAAGAATTGGACGGTGACAAGATCTGACGAGTCGGCGTTAGGAGTTTCCTGGTGAAAGGTTTTGCGTAAGATTTGTAGCTCTCTGTACGTTGAGAATGGCGGATCTAGAGAATGTATTCGGTGTAGTACCCGCGCCAGTGGAAATAAAGGAATAAATTAAAGGTTTTTCTATAGCGCCAAAAAAATCAGATTTAAAAGTACTTCGCTTCAATTGGAATCTCCAATTGTTGTTGCCTTCTTAATTATGTTACACTCGCCTAAGCGAAGAAGAAGAATATGGACTAACCATATGTACTCAGCTGTGTAGATTAACTTCTGGTTAATTAAATTTAATAATGATTTACTTGACGATGTTTTTTAATTTCAGGAATTCGTTGTTTAATTCGTAAGAAAATACATTATACAAATCCATTAAAATTGATAAGAACTTTAAGTCACATCAGCTTTTTTTTCAATCCGAAGGTTTTAAATTTAATTCAAGCAGAGCGTAAGTACATATGTACATATGTGTGTCTATGTCAATAATTACATATATACGAAATTCTACTTTACTTTTAGTGTATTCGGAGCAACGGGTATTTTACAAATTGCGAAATATTTGAAAGAAAAACATTGTTTTTTGTTTGGAATTTAAGATATTGCTTTACACCTGTTAACTAATTAAATCTTCGGTTGTGATAAGAAATAAATTTGTGGCCGAAATGCTTCTTCATTTTACATCATATACTTACTCTAATTATCTACATTGCCGTAACACGAGTATGTTGTGATAAACACAGATAAATATGTTGTAAATTGCCATGAAGGTCATGGAACGTGTTCTTGGGCTGGGGTGGAATGAAATCTAAATTAATAATACAACAAAATAATAAATAAATATCATATATGTATGTATATGGGTTTCGAATGATTAGTTTTTGTTCTTCCTTATCTATAGCACTTCTTAAATTCGTTAAAAAATAAAATAATAATTTAAATTGAAAAATTTAGCGGTGATAATGAGTGATTCACATTCGCCACATTTCATTTAACAGCATTGAAGCAATCTTTATTTAAAATCAGCAATACAGTTAATTAAAAGTTGTTATATTTAAGAAAACGGCGGCCATGTTCGTCACTCATGTATACAATGATAATATTGAACTAACTTTTTATACCATTTATGGGCACGAAATGGTATATTAACTTTTGTCCGAAATATGTAAGTACCAGAGGCAGAAGATATATATATATATATATATATATATAGTATGTATATATATAGTATGTATATAAAATTGGCGCTTTGTAACCGCTGAAGTGAGTTTTCGGAGGAGCTCCTCCTCCAATTTTAAGTTTTGCGTCTTGATATTTTTCCAACAAATGTTGAGATCTACAATTTGTACTAAGCCGCCTCCGAAAGGCTGATGGTTTTTTCACGAGGAGCCTTTATTTCATGCCGAAATATACTTGGAGTGGTGGACATTCCCTTCCGAGGGGCGATCGCAATTACAAAATTTAATTTAATTTTTTATATAAATTAATTTTCCATAACTTTTGGATGTTGGTGGTACCAGGATATGAACCCGAGCCTTCCCCACGTTAGTACGCAATGTTAACCACTCGGCTACCGCGTCCGACGCAGAAGAGATAGGCTCAAAATTTATACCGATCGGATCAAAACGACGAGTTGAGTTGATTTAACCATGCCCACATTAGTTTGTACTCAATTAAATATTTCAACCAAACTTTATCGGAACTGAACAGACCGATTTTTTCAGATTTGAGATTTTGAGTCGAAAATCCATTAAACAAGTAAATTACACATATAATGATTTACATACCGCTGCTGGAAATTATTGAAATCGCGAGACTGTATAATATACACCGATGTTTTCAGATATGAGTCTTTGGTTAAACCTCCTTTGAAAGGCATCTAAAATAATGAAATTTGGCATTATATATTTGTATCGACAAATAAACTTATTTACTTACTTACTTTACTGGCGTAGACAACGCTTACACGATAAAGGCCGTAGGGTCTTCCTCTTCTTCTGCTTCCACCGGCGGGTACAGCATAGAAAACTTTCAAAGCTGGAGTATTTTTATTCATCCAGATCACATAACTTAGCCAGTGTAGTGAAGAATTGAAGATTGTCTTATATATTAGTATAGATCGATTGGTTGGTTGAAAAGAAAAAGCTGAGAACCTGACCACGGGCGGCCACACTATAACCATTGAGAATGCTAATTCAGTTCTCCGCCTTAATTCTACTGTTATCGATTCAAGAGACTGAATTTTAGGCATTCACAAAAGTAGTGCTCCAGGGTTTTATCCTCTTCTATGTATACTCTGCATTGGGCATTAGATTTCCCTATTAAAGCGGTTGTCCATTTGGCTCAATATATTCAAAACCACTAAGGCTCTTACTTTTCACAATATAGTTTCTGCTCGGGTGACATCTATCCCGTAGAAGGTTTAGTTTGTCGGTTGCATTTCATATTTAAGAAGAGTTCAGTTATAATTTTCTGCACTTCCCAGTTATGGGACGGAACCGAACAGAATTTATTTTTACATATATACTTCAGGACCGTTTCAATACCCAAGACAAGCTTGCCGGCAACAAGAATGTTAGCCTGGAAATTGAACGCAAAATTACTTTTGGCCACAGGTGCTGTTTCGGACTGAGTAGGCAGTTGAAAAGTAAAATCCTCTCTCGACGAAAGAAAACCAAACTCTACAAGTCGCTCATTATACCGGTCATATCATACGGCGCAGAAGCGTGGACAACGTCAACATCTGATGAGTCGGCTATAGGAGTGGAATCAGGTGGAGAGTGACCTTCACATGGTATTTCTAACTGGCACCAGGTAGCGAAAAAAAGAGAGGAATGGCGCGCTAAGATTGATTCGGCTATAATTGCGTACGTGACGCGGAGAAGAAAAACAAAATCTCTGACATAAAATAAAAGCTGCTCATAAAAATCTTCCACGATTCAAAGAAAATTAAAATTAAAACTGTAGGTAAAGCTATGCGCTGGAAAAATAATAGGAAACCTACACACAAATCGAAGATGAAGCCGAAAATTTTATCTAAAATCGCTTAAGCAGTTATAAGACGTTAATTTTTTTATTTATTTTTTTTTTTTAATGAGCATGAAATGGTATCTTAACTTTGGTTCAAAGTATGTAAACACCAGAAAGAGAAGAGATATGCATTTTAGATCAGCTTAGATTAGAATGACTTGCTGAGGTGAATTATCCATGTCCGTCTGTCATCTGCTTTGACGCCGCTAATCCCTTATATTGAGTGAATTTTTGTATTATATTGATAATTTATTGGAACCGCCAAGACCGGTCGACTATATCCTATAACCCCCTAGTAACCGATATTTGAAATAGGAGCATTAATAATAATTTCAAAGCAATAAAGAATACAATAAAGATATGTACTGTGTAAAAAAAGATATCGATCGTATGCGAAATAGGTGATTGGTTCCTTACCTTAAAACCTATTGAAATAAGTCAAAAAAATGATTTTTTTAGAACTACTTTTTAGGCTTTGTGTTAATGTTTGATACTGTTTTCATATTTGTGCATTGTTCTCAATTGTTTATTATGAGTGCTTATCCCTTGTTTTCTTTAGTAGCATCCTTAGTGTATGATGTAGGTTTAACAGATAGTTTCGTTGCAGAAATCACTGATGCTTTAACATTAAATTTAATCTAACGTTGGAAAATCAAATTTGCCTTTAGAAAAGTGAAGATTTTGAATCGTTCTAAATGGAATAATATCGGTTAAAAAAATTTAAAATTTTATTATTATCGAACCGTGTTAAATCAAAACCGTGTAAAAAAAGGCTGTGTAAAAATAGAATTAGGTGTACATGAAAGGTATGAGAACAGTCCTTCTTTATTCGTTTGTCTAATTTGCCAAAAGCGAATTGCTGATTTTCATGTTGCCAGACGCATCACTAACTGTAATTTTAATTATATTGCTGTAAATCAACAATATTAGGTTCCATTGAATCTTTTATTT